CTGATATGTCACGTTCGGATTCATTCGAAGAGTTTTCTTGAGCCACGCGAACTCAAATGTCACATGTCTATGTCACTATGTAAGAAATTTCCTATCTCATGTTCACGGGAAAAAAGTTGCAATTTTGGACCCTTCTCTATGCCCCAGAAGTTCGTAACATTTATTCTAAAACACTTGCATATTTCTATTCAATATTTCCTTGAATTTAATTTTATTATACGATCCGGGCGCGTCAACTGCTAAGGTCATTAGTCCCGTAAGTGCAGTGTATGCTTTCTCCTCGGGAGGTGACCATCTTCCCCCGTTGGATGGTGATATCTGGCGAACAACCGTCGGAAAACGGGGTTTTCTCAACAAGGTATCTCCGGGGTATCCTCAACAAGGTATCTCCGGGACGGGGCATCATCCCAGCCGGGACAGGCTCTAAGCCCCCGACTGGTCTCCCAGCATGTGGTAGTAATGTATGCGAGTGTAAGAGTTAAGTAAGGGGTTAGTATATGACACGGAAGGGGAAGGAAAAAACGCGCGCGGTCCATGGCCCGTTTGTTAGGATACTACGCCGGCATTTGCCTGGTGTTAATCAGAGAAACCAAGAAAAACTACCGATCAGAGCAGCAGGACGTCAAAATTCTCCTCCAGACAGGCTGACCTAGCTATCGAGCTTGAAAAGTCTCGAAATACTGTCCCCGTAGAGACTCGAACCTAGGATATTCCGGTCAGAGGAACTGCAGTGTCATCCTTTAATATTGAGTGTTTTCAAAGCGAAAGGCCAAAGCCGACATGTTGAAAAGGAGCCTTCCCAACATGGATTGTAGTAAGGAATCTTAAGTCGATACAGAAAAGTTACGTACCACAGGGGATGTAATTTGTATAGAAAAATGACGATCGTTTCCGTTTTTGGTACAGATTTCGAGTTTGACCACTGCGCTCCTGGCGTGACTTTCCGGAACTTTTATAGTTGCTATGCCTGTGATGCAATTTGTTCCTTTTACGTAGTTTTGAGAGCGTTCGAATGTGTTGAATTGTAATGTGAAGTGCTTAGTGTGGTAAGAAATCAAGCATGTACTTGGTTCTAAAATAACAATTTGTTGCCATAGTTGCGATATTCAGCTGTTCGATATTCAATGCTTTTTGCGTCTAGATAAAACATTTTCATCATGATTATGTACACAAAACAAAATGACCGTGTAAAACCTGCATCTCCGCTACCCAAACAGTTCCGAGTAGATAAAAACGTCCCTTTTCCATCCACTTCCAGTAGAGAAAAAATATTAAAAATGTACCTGTAAAACAGAAATGGACGAAAATGGCACTTCAACAACTCGGGCAGAGGTGTCTCGCACCTGCAAACGTTTTATTAAGTCGTGATTCGTCACTTCGCTTGAAAGTTTTCGGAGAATGTGTGCTTCGCCATTTTTTGAAAATGTTTCGTATAAAGGGAGAAATAGAGCTTTAAAACATTGTTTGCACACGTCTTTCTCAGATCTTCAAACTTTTTCTGCCTTTTTTACCCCAACAAGCTCGTTTTAATTAAAGCCTCAATTTTCGAGAACTGCAATTGTTCAACTTTCTTCTTAAAGCGTCAGGTAGATAGTTACGCCGATTCAGGCTGTAGGTAGAGTGGTTAGGCTAAATGGTTACTCTTAAAAACTCGAGTTCGAATCCCAACGTTGACTAACATTTTTGCCGTTTGGAAACACTTTTGAGGGTTCAAATAGTAAAACGTAACAATATGTAAATTACAAATACTGTAATGCGAGAAAGTACGTGCTGCTGGAGCACCATTAGTTTCTCTTCAGTTTCAAAGGCGCCTACACGGTCATGCCAAGTTGGCTGGTGGCTATAGCTATCAGTAGTGACAGTGCCTCCTGAAATTTCGAGACATGAAGAAGATCGTAATGAGGACAGGCAGACTGGACGAACGATAGCGGGTCCGCGCGTCAACACTTTCCGCCCTCGTTTGTGATCAGCTTTCTTGGCTTCGGTACGAGTGCATGAATGGAGGCACACTTAATTTACTATGTACGAAGAATGAAGTGCCACTTTAATCCCCAAAGCAATTAAGGCATACTTTAGCAAAGGAAAAGGTGAGAAAAAAAGGGGCGACCAAGAATATAATTATGTTTCTACGACCGGGAGTAGAAGTCTATTTCTACTTTTCCAAACACGAGAGAGATAAAACTTCCCTCGGGAGAAAATATTTTTCCCGTGTTTATTATATTCAACAATGAAATAATTTGTCACAGCTCTTCAGTTATTTATTTACAAACAAATGAATTTTACAATAACACAATTATACATTTATCAGAAAATATGACTTTATTAATTTATATAATTGACATACATTTACACTATCACGTATTCACGTAATATGTTTATAAGAGAAGCTCTTCACAATTACTTTTTAAAAACGCAACTAGTATCGTACTTGTGTCAATGTTGTTGTTTGCAATGAAGTAAGCTTTTACCAAACAACATTGTGTTGAAGTTGTGAAGGATTTACTATATTTCTTATCTAGTTCCCTTAAATTTACAAACCTAACATCACTGTAGTTCTTTGCGACTATACCTCTATTGCAACCTTCAAATTTTATATAAGCTTCATCGTGGAACTTTTTATACTTCAACAATATATATTTAAAAATTAATTCACAGTATCAGCCACGCATATTTTGTCTCTTCAATGCCCATCATAAGTTGATTCTTAACGGTTACTTTAGTATTTCACTAATAAAAAAAATAGACTTTTCAAGCATGAAGAATTATGCTGTTCAATACGTAAGCACCTTTGCTTTTTCATTGATTCTTATATAAATACAGTAGTCCTAACAAAAAGCGAATACACACACCTGAAGGCGGAAAGTCATTTCCCCTCGGTATCATTGTAGACACCATCACACCATCTTCCATCGCAAAACCTAAGGAAAAGTCCTGTATCTCTCCTCCTTGATGGGTAATCTACTATTGTCATGTTAGCAATTTATTTTTCTTTCCCCTACTAAAAGTAATCAATTTGAATCAAGGATGATTAAATCACAAATATGACACGCGTAATCGACCTAATGAATTAAATTTAGTATTTTGTTGAACAATATTTTATCCTGGACACATATACATAAAACCTTTACATATGTAAAAACATACATATATGTACACTAAGGATACAAATATATGTAGTACAAATATTCACATATACAAACATGTACATATAAACAAACACATACTTAAAACCAAATACATCCATACATAACTTTCAAATTCCAAAGATAATTACGTATGTACTTGCAATTAACTACGCAGTTTCTTTGATTCACGAGATAAAATTAACCATGGCTTGGACCCCAGAATATTGCATTTTCCGTCGTTTCCTTAGATTAAGGACAAATCAGATATAAGCAAAGAGTCTTAAAAGGTATTATCGTTAAATCATTGCATCCTATCGTGAACACAATTGTAACTGACAAGACACCTGAGAAAGACTGTCCCCTTCCACAGAAATCAAATCTTATGAAGTTAGCACATGCCCATGGGTATTCTCTCTGGCTATGTATCTTGTTTTCACGTGTTGTAATGACTAATATTGCTCGCTGACAGAAAATAAATTTTTCATCTCTCGTTAATTTTTACACCTTTTTTAAATTGATCGCCGATTCATATCTCTAATTTCACCACTATGCACTGCGACAATTAACAATACGAAAACTTATAAAATCCCTTGTGAAAAATCGTTCTAAAAAATCCTTGATAACGGTAGGAGTGAAAGTATTTCATTCTTTTTAAATTCTGCTTTCCAAAAAAAGAACACTGCAATGGAGAAAAATGGGTTAGAGAAAGCTTCGACCTCTCTGTCTGCGAGGCCCTTTGATCACATTCCAGAGGGAAGTAATTCTTTTATTCAGAATACGAAGCGAGATGACGTCACCCACCGCACCCCTAGCCAGCAGCGCTGTCATCGAAGGGAGTGCCACCCTCCACACACACACAGCGCCCTCCCCCACACCGACCCCGGCCGAGTCATACCGAAACAAAGCTGGTTATTGCCCAAGTCCATTCCGCTTTATCACGTTAAAAATGGAGGACGACGCTTTTACCACCACAGGTGCCGCCTCTGATAAAGCTTTCGTTGATAGGGACGGGGCGTCCGGCCAGGAAAACGACTAATGCGGAGCTCACAGCGCTTCGGCAGACCTCCCCACGTAGACAAATATTCATGATCGGATCGTGTTCAAAACGCATTCTATTTAAAATATCGCGGCATTGATCAGACTGAGGGAGAACATACGTTCTTGAGAGAGCGTCACTATGCTGCCTTTCAATCGCACAGGCCGTAGATTGAAGCATCGGGAGAAGACACCACACGTGAGTGACATTTACCAACTCTTTTCATTCATCAGATCGTCCGTTGGAAGGAGTCCAGTGTTAAATTAGAAAGATTTCGAAATATCAATGCAGTTTGCTTGTCAAGAGAAAACACCTGTTTCTCCACATACATCCTAACCTATTAGATTCTGCCATCCATAACGGTTACTTATTTACTTAATTTTGACAAGACAATTCCATCGATTCTGAAAATAATAGTTCGTGACAAAACTGTTAATCTTTTAGCGAATAGATACAGAATTTAAGCATGCAGTCTGTAAGATATTAAGCGGAATATGTTTATTATGTATGATATTATGTAACTACACCGATTACATCACTTAGCGTACAGCAAAAAAATAAATGTTACCGAAAGTCAAAAGACGATCCTACGTTAACACATGCGGCATGCAGAGGGTAATTCACAAGCACTATTAAATCTGCCGGTGCAACCTCTCATTGCTCAAAGAATTTTGATTCTACAACACGAAACTATACAGCGGCGTCGCCCCGCGGCCCCGTTCGATGCTCTGGGTAGCGCCCGCCCCCACACGTCACCCGATCAGAAACGATTCGCAGTCCGCTGCGGCACGAGAGCCACACTAAATATGCGGGCGAATTTCGATTTCTTTCTCCGAAAGCTAATAATAGCGCGGCTGGGCAGGGCGGTGCACGAGTGCACTACGGTGGCAGGTGGCGCAGGGCACTTGCACGGCTGCGGCGGCGGCGGTGGTGACGGCCGGAGCGGGGGTGGCGCTGCGTGACATTCGGCAGTGGCCGGCGGCGGCGCCGACGACGCGTGACCCGGGGAACGGCGGCGGCAGCGGGCCGCACGCCACCGCGCGACGAGGCGGGGACGGGACGGGACGCGCCGAGCCGAGCCGGTCGCCACGCCTACGCATCTGTCAACCCCCTTTCCTCTCGGCCGTCGCACTGTCACCTGCGAATTTCTTGCGCCTCAGACACCTTACGTAACGCGAGAAACTTGCACACACGGGGAGGTGGTTACTATCTTCGGTAAAATATACATCGTTATCGTCGTTGTAGACGAAGTCTGGACATTACGTAAAAATTCTGTGACGTATGGCTTCGGTTCGCTAGACGAATTGAATCCAATGTATTGGCTTTACTCTAAAAGTGTTACCAACCAGAAATGCAGGTACAAACAATCCCTAAGAAAATCTTGTTTAATCAACTACGCACACCAAATACACGTGCAATGACATTTGCGGTTGCTTCGCACGATATTTCTACGAGTTTTAAAGAGAGTTAAAAAATCTGTTCATGATAGTAATCAGCTAATTACCATCTACAATTAATAGCGAGAATGTCACCTTGCTATGGAAGCTCTGATAACAGGAGATAATGCATGAACGTCACAGGTACAAGGTGCCGCACACCTGTATTGCAGATTCTCCCGCAACGGGTATAAGATGACAGTTCGCTCGTGCCAGAAAGAACATTTTCACTACAGACAAGAGGCAAAAATAACATATTAATGTTCAACTTACCAAGTGTAGAACTGTGTTCACAACTTCCCGGTTCGACACCTGTCCCACCTCGATCAAGCCGATGAGGACGGCGAATTTCAAGCTGTCGTTCATAGCCATTCTCACTACCTCCTCTGGTCTCTTAATGTCACTAAACGGCGGACTTTGAAGGTCCGCCATGGTTCTGTTGTAAGTTAATAGTTCACACGAGTCGAAATTATAACCACATTCACATTTGAATTTATTCTTAACACAGGTTCTTCCACATCACATGATAGTAGCACACTAACAAATCTGCCATGTTGGAAACTGAAATGTGAGGTCTGCCAACATACCGATTCGAAATAGGCTGTTTAATCATTAGAGACATTGAAGAACATTCACATTTGTTTGTAGGGCTCCAAAACGTTTCTTATACCAATCATTGTGTTTAAAATCACTTATATTTCAATCAAAGTATCCAATTTGTATATAAATGTCAGTAATTTCAATATGATTATCAATGGTAGTACAATTAAAAGAAAAAATGTTTCTTTTACACTACTTTTATTCAAAGAAAAATGCTACTATTGAGAAAATTGCTTAGAGAATGCTGCACTAGATAAAAAGAACTAAAACGAATCATTTTTGGACATAGAATTGTTGACGGATACGTTGGCTACACTGTATAAACCCTCATTGGTCAATGTAGCGTAGACATCGAAATAAACAATTATTATATTGTTAATTTATGTTTGATAAAAATATATAATGATTGAGCAGATGAGTAAATAATTGACATCTGTAAATCTATTTGTTTTTAATACTTTCTAGCTCCAGATCATTTACATTGGCTGCAACAATGTAAATAATAGAAATATAACAATACATTTGTTAATGTTGATATAATTAAATACATATATTACTTATAAATTGAAAACTTATCATATTGTTTATGATTGACTACCGCGAGAAACAAGTTCTCATCTCCTTACGATTAGCATTTTATTAACATTACAAAATAAATAACAATGTAAAAGCATTAATTATTGTTAATAAACTTATTTTCACTTTCATTTCACGTAATTAAAAACCCAAAGTAAAATGTATACAGAAATAAATGTCGCTTTATTCGGTAGATGAGTTGACTTCTGTAGTATAGACAGTTGTGCGCTTGCTGGAAAGGAATGTATACGTGCAGTCATTCATCATCAGTCGTATAACGAAAAACGATGGCAGCGGTGGAAGTGGACAGGGCTCGGGTGAGTTTTAAATGTGAAATAGTACTATAATGTATCATTGTTAATAATTTTAATGTCAACATTTATGTCTGCTCGGTATTTGATTACGCTTTCCTTTCAAAAGGCGTGAAAGGGCGTTGGTGCAAGACCTGACGTCAAGCCCCCCTGCCACACAAAAATCAGAATAATGGATATTATTAATTATTCCAGACTTGTGTATTTGTTGGAATTATCGTAGGTTTGAATGTTTCGAAATAAGGGTTTCACTTTTTTTAGATTGTTAGTGTGAACCGTGGACATCTTTAGATTGGATGATATTTGTGTCACAATTTGTTACCGAATCTGTGATATTACTTTGTTGTAGGTGGAAGCCAGTATTCGCAATTTAAAGCTGTCTGGTCATGTAGGATTTGACAGTTTACCAGATCAATTAGTCAATAAATCTGTTCAAAATGGATTTGTTTTTAACATCCTGTGTATCGGTAAGTTAAGGTCTTAATAAACAATTTGGTTCTTAATTTCTACTTGAGTTTCCGGGGAAATTTGGTTTTATATTTTACTTTACAGGTGAAACAGGGCTTGGTAAATCCACTTTGATGGACTCTCTATTTAACACAAGTTTTGAATCTACTCCAAGCCCTCATAATTTACCAACTGTGAAATTGAAGGCACATACATATGAGCTTCAAGAAAGTAATGTCAGATTGAAGGTAAAATTAGGTTATGAACACCTTGTTGTGCGTGTTAAATTAGTATCAATTGTTCTGTTTGAAATGTGTTTTACCTCTTGGTTTAATGTGTTTAGTTGACAATTTGCGACACAGTGGGGTATGGTGATCAAATCAACAAAGAAGATAGTTTCAAAGCTGTTGTTGATTACATTGATGCTCAGTTTGAAGCTTACTTACAAGAAGAATTGAAGATTAAACGCTCTCTTTCCGCTTACCATGACAGTAGAACACACGTGTGTTTATATTTTATTTGTCCTACTGGCCATGGGTATGAAATATAACTTTTTTTTTTTTAACAAATCAATAATCTTGACTTTACCATAACAGGACACATTCTGGCATTATAATACTTTGTGTTTTCATTTTCCGTCATCAATAGTTTGAAGTCAATTGATTTGGTGTGCATGAAGAAGTTGGATACCAAAGTAAATATTATTCCTATAATAGCCAAAGCAGACACAATTTCCAAAACAGAATTGCAAAAGTTTAAGGTACTTTTTTTTTGTAATAAATATTGCTTTTCTTGCCTTAAATGAATTAAGACAAATTTTATCATACCATTTCTATATTTCAGTCCAAAATCAATTCTGAACTTGCTAGTAATGGAGTTCATGTCTATCAATTTCCTACTGATGATGAGTCAGTTGCCGAAGTAAATACTTCAATGAATACCCATGTACCATTTGCAGTTGTTGGAAGCACCGATTTTGTTCGTGTTGGTAATAAAATGATGCGTTCACGACAATATCCTTGGGGAACTGTACAAGGTAAGTGACACAAAATAATATGCCATCTTTTGCTTCGGTATTCTAAAAATAAAATGGATATATGTATTAAAATGACCATTTAATATTTCAGTTGAAAATGAATCTCATTGCGACTTCGTTAAGTTGCGTGAAATGTTAATTCGAACTAACATGGAAGACATGAGGGAGAAAACACACAATCGTCACTATGAATTGTACCGTAAAAAGCGCCTAGAACAGGTTAGTTATAAATTCCTTTTTATTGCTTTTGAGTAAAAATTTAAAAAACAATTAATGTGTGGAGTAATTGGTGCTAGTCAGAGATTGAATTAGGCAGAAAACATAAATGACACAAAATAAGTGATTAAAGAAATGGTTTTGTTTGCTAAAGGCAGTAAATGTGGCAGGTTTAGTTGTGATATACCCATTTTGAAGGAGGCCTGTAGAAGTAGATGCCAAGTTGTTGATCACGGATACTTGTGTCAAAGCAAGAACGACAAAACTGGAAAAGAAACACTGATTTTTTTTCTATTATTTCACCCTAATGATTGTGGTAGAACATCCAAGTGATAAAACATGAGGGTAATAATACAACGATCTTTCGGATAACATTATACAATGCTTCTTCTCTTATTTGTTTTATGGCCCAATTTTCAGAGTATTTGGGACATTATACTCTCCATCAGACTTTTGGTCAGAGTTCCAATTGTAATTATATAGTTTGGAAGCATCTTTAATTTTAATGTGTTAAAAAAAGGTCCATTGTTATCTAAAAATTTTTCATAAAAATATCCAGTAGCTAACAGAGAACGACTAATCTGAAGAATTTGACCAAAAATCACTTTTCAATTAAAAGGAAAAGCACAAAAATGCCCAAATTTTGAATGCTAAATTATTATTAGGAATACAGTGAAGCACTCGCATCAGATGAACTATAGTATTTAAAGTAGAATGTTGAAAGTGCAATCAATTAGTTTTGAATTGCCCCATAAAAGGAAATGATGATAAATATAATTTTAATTCTCCATTTATGAACATGACAACTTTTTGTTGAATATTGATAAATTCCAGTTCAAAGTGTTACCCTATAGTGTAGAAAGCTGTGAACAAGTTGAGTATGGATTTTGTGCAATTGTTGGCTTTGTGCTAAGATATTTTTTAGGTCAGGGTATTGGACTTATCATTTGTTTCACATGGAAATGTAAAAATTATGGTTTTATTTCTGTGCCTTTTAATTCAGGTCACTCATTATTATCAGTGGCATATGAGGGCAAAATATTCTTTTAAAATTAATAATGACATTATTAATTTTAGATGGGATTTACCGATGTTGATTCAGACAACAAACCTGTAAGCTTCCAGCAGACGTTTGAAGCCAAACGGAGCAATCACTTACAAGAATTGCAACAAAAGGAAGATGAAATGCGGCAGATGTTTGTTGTGAAAGTAAAAGAAAAAGAAGCGGAATTGAAGGAAGCAGAGAAGGATGTAATTATTTATTCTTTTCTTGAAAAACACAAACCGAAATCTGTTTATTGATTGTTGATTAACATTGTACATTATTTTTTAGCTCCACAACAAGTTCGACAAGCTAAAGAAAGAACATGGGGAAGAGAAGCGGCGTCTGGAAGATTCCAGAAAGAAGCTTGAAGATGAGATTATAGAGTTTAACCGTAGGAAACAACAATTTCAGCAACAACACATGTCTTCCAGTCATCATACTCTTACCCTTGGAAAGAGCAAAAAGAAGTAATTTTTACATGCAAACTGGAATGCCAAATGTTTGATCTAAAGAAATATTTGTCAGCAAATTTTTATCCATTGAGTTTTTTTATCATCACACTATTTTGGTTAATGTGTTTATTGCTATAATATTGATATTGGTTTTAAATGTAATCATTATTTCCAAAAATTATATTTTTTCTGGTCTTTAGAAGATTGTGATTTAATGGTTTTTCAAACAACCTAAAATTTTATCCAACTAAAACTTAATAGCGATTTCCTTTTGGTGGTGTACATTGCGTTTTGTTTAATCGGGGAAAAAAAAGGAAAAAAAAAAATCCTGCAAGTATCTTCATAATATATTTTGTTCTATGAATATAAATTCTGCATATCTGAACCCTGAAGTTCAGTTGATTTCAGTAAAAATATTCATTGGTATTTAACATTTCAGGGATTTAAAAATGCTTACCTATCATACAAAGACACCAAGGAATCTGGTGTTACATCTGGCAGAAGTTATGGGGAAGTTGACTGAAAATTATATAATTGCTGGTTTATTTTTGCATGAAGTGGTATTGTGTGAATCATTGGTGATGTCTGAGAAAAGAACTAGTCAAAATAGCATGATTCAATGAAAGAATTATTTTGAGAATAATTCCATGCTTTCCAACTTTTTTTCATAAAGTTCAAAACATTTAAACACATTAACCATTATATAAGAATCTAATTTTCATGTGGAATATTGAAAAAACAAAGTGTATTTTCTGTACCAAAGAAGAGAGATTTGTTTTCATGATCTTAATTTATATTTTTATTGCGAGCCAATTTGAGCAGTTTAAATTACTATCTTGTGCCATCTCACATGTCCAAATCAACTGATCCATTCCAATTATGCAATATTTTCCAGAAGGCATTTGCTATACTCATAGTAAAATTGGAAACAGGCAAACCTTTGCATTAAAATCTGATTAATTTTGTCAAATTTCATTTTCTAACAAGAATTTATTGCCAACAATGTCGCCTAATAAACTAATTTAGACTTAGGAAAGTAAATAATTTGTTGGTTTACTTTCATAGCAAATGTCACAACTTTATGTACCACTGCCATCAAACATTAGGGTTTTCAGAATGAAGTATTTAGTAATTTAAGGTCAACACTATTACATTGTTCTTTATATTCATGTTGTGTATGCTTTGCTGTGTTGGCGAATTCGATATTGCCTTTTTTGTTACCTTGCTGCACTTTTCCTAGAGTATCTATTATTTTATATTGCATTTATTTTGTATTAGAATTTATTAATAGTGAATATCAGTGGTAAAACATGATATAGCAGGCACATACTTTAAATGTATTTTATATTTATGGCGAAAGTTTACCATATGTGAAATTATGAAAAGAATTCAAACTTTTATAGGTGCTAGTGTAGTTTGATTTATCATCCTTTAGCATGTTCTGTTAAAAAAAGAAGTTAGTGGGCCTTATTTTTTCTGTAAATGTTTGTTAATGTAAATTTTGGACTGGAAAGATTGTAATATCTTGTGAGAAAGTCAATCTTTACTTTTTCAGTATTCATTATGCATTTGTATTTTTATTATACTTTCACTTCAGTATATTCAATATTTAATAAAGAAATTTTGAAATTATACTTTCTTTTTAAACTTTTTTTTGAGTCTCCCTGAAAAACGTTCATGGTCACAATTGAGAAATGTATCACTAAATGTAAGGTCTAGGTTACATTACTTGAGAAATAAATAATTCATATCACACGTGCAAAGCAAGATATTTTCTAGAGCAAGTATTGTTTATATTGGAACTGCAAATACAAAGATATCAACCTTCTGAAATTAATTTACTCCTGTTATTTGCCAAAGAGAAATTTAAGTAAGGATTCAACATTTGAGGAAAAATGTTCAATGCCTGTTTTGATATGTTCCAATAAGTATGAAATAAACATATTCAAGAGAAACATTATTTTAAGAAAGTGGTTACAATTTTTTGAGTGATGAAGTATGTAGTAATTTGAAAAATACTTATCAAAATCAAGAATTTAAACTTAAGGGTTTGTTACTAGATAGTTTCAAAACAGTACACTTCTCATCTCCCTGAATGTATTGTAGAAAAAAAACCTGCATTGTTTCTGTGGGGAGAAAAAATTGTTTTTGAAATCTTGGATTTATTTTGTAGTGAGCGATTCTTATTTTAAGCTTCATATACATGTTTCTTAGGGAAACATACTACTATTCACTGACATAAGCAATGCACAGGATAAAAATTAACACATAGCCTTCAATTCAGTTCATTTGTTAATTTGTACAATTATTGTCAAAAACAATCACAGCCAAACAAATATATTGAATTAAATGAATAAAACACTGGCAGAATCAATTTAACGCTTACTGGCTTAAGTTTCTCTTGGCAACACAGAGATCCAATACCTACACAATCTATGGCAGAAGAAATGAAACAAATATACTACCAGGGATTCCAACAAACACAATGCATTTATTTCTGGAAATTGGGACCTATTGTGACCAAAAATTGATTTCTGAAATTATTGATTCAATTTATTGATGTTTGTATAATAATATTTTCAGAAATGAAAGTAGTCCTAATGTTTACTGTGAACTAATTGGTTCTGTGTGATTATTGCACTGAATATCAAAAGTTAATTTCAAGACTGAGTTTATCTTAATGATGACCACCTTTCTTATGCAATGGGGATACTTGCTAACCCTACAAAAATGTCTTTTTGGTGAATAAACATAATTCCTGTCCAAAATCTGAAAAAAAAAGAAAAATGTGTCATTTCCTTTTAGGCATAATGGTGTCATATGGTACAGGTTATGTGCCTGATATTTGCGTAACATAATTAGCCATGTCAGTTTTTCATATTGAATTGCTTCTTAACATCACTATATATCAAGACAAAAATGTATGTTATAGAAGAACATTAAAATCTACATTATCTCACAAAATTTAAATATGTAAGCCTACTATTTATAATGTTTTTATTACAATTTGCTGCTAAGTTTCAGTGGCTTCTTTAAGTTTATCAAATTCATTTTTTAAGCTTATCATTTTTATTAACTTTTTAGTTATTACTGTAAGTTTAAGATCAATATTATTATTTAGTTTTACACGCTTTTTGGCTAAGGCAGTCAGACCACAGCTTGGAGAAAGAGAACATGCAGTCACTACTGAGAGGAAACTTTTAAGTACTCAAAAAATGTACTGATATATTATTGTAAATCCTGAAAGCTATAGAATCTAGATAGATTTCCAATGTGCATAGAAATTGAATGAGAAGAAATCTATGCAGTCTCTGTCCCTGTTAGAGGTGTCTAGAGTTTCAGTAGATACCCGAGAAAGCAATAAAAGTTTCAATTTTGACTAAAAAATGCAAATATTTGATAGTTGCTCCGATAATTCTCATATTGCATGTACTGCCTAAATTTCCATACTCAGTCACTTAGCTGTTGTCATGTGGGAAAAGCAGTAAGGCTCCGAGGAAGATGCCAATCACCATTAAATATTTGCTATTTGTGTGTTGCATTATGGAACAATATCTTTTCTACTTTCTTGGTATGTAAAGAACTGGTGCAGTGTGTACATACTAGACTATCTTATTGCTGTTTTTGGGAAGATTATTTTGTTAAAATATTTAATATATTGCTGTGTTATACAGGAGTATTTTCTTTGTTGTTCTAGAGCAATGTGTTTACTACTATTTGGAAAACCATTTTAGGTGGTTTTCTTAAGCAGCATTTCTGCTCCTGGAGACTACCAGTTTTATCTTAATTTTAAACTTCCACTTAAGTAGTAAACCAATTTCTTACGTACGCAATTCACTGGAACACATCTTTTATTTTATTTAACAAATGTTTACTTATAAAATGTGGTTTAGTAATTAAGTAAATATGAAAACCTTGATATGACTAATGGTTAAGATAATATTTAATTATTACCATTCTGGTTAAAATAGTACTTTATAAGCAAAATGGCTTTCACTGATCTTTTCAGAGATCTTCATATTACTCCATTTTTGCCTTAAAGAATAAAATATTTCCATAATACCATTATTGCATGGGATTGCAAAGAAGATCAAACATGGAAACATTACCAATTCTGAATGAACCTCTGGATTCTCGTTTTGTTTGGTGACTCAATTGAGATGACATGGCATTTTTTTAAATCCTCACAATGAATTTTACTGTATACAAATATTTTTCAAATTACAAAATTTATCAAAATTTAAGTCATCATCAAGGTGCACATTTATCTCATTAAGATGTTTTATAAAAATTCCCACATTATTCCAATGCGATCATTGTGCCCAGTAAAAACTGAAAATATGTCAGGGTTTATTTATAAAAGCAAGTGGTATACCAGAATGGCAGACCTTCTCACACTTATTAGTTTTTAAATCTCTTTGCTCTACGCTAGCTTTTCAGTATTGTCCCAGGTGCTTCCTATTGGCACTAAAAATATACTTTTTCACATTTTCTCAATTTTGTCTTCCCCTAATAGTACAATTGAAGTATTTCTTTGAGTATATTATAGAAGAGGGTCCTTTATATATTTATTATAGAAGATAGTCCTTAGTATATTATAGAAGAGATTATTCAATAAATTCATTCATTCACAATTTTGAGCTCATTTTCACATAGCACTTCTGGTTTTCAATTAACTTCATAAGCAATCATTTGAAACATTTGTACTCACAACAATTTATAATAATTACTATTTATAATAATAATAATAATAATAATAATAATAATAATAATAATAATAATAATATTTTAAATGTAAATGACAAGAGCTATTTTTAAAAAGTTACAAGAAAACATTATAAATAATACAGAATCAAAATGTAAAGAAAACATCAATATTGCATTTATGCCATATGCATTTTGGACTTGATAAAGGTCAAGGAAAACATTAGGAGCTGTTTTTGAAAAATACTTGCTTTTAAAATTGCATTTTGTTTTTCAAGCAAAATTATGGGGAAATGATTCATAATTTGAAAATGAAGAACATGACCTCATTTAAAGCTCTAATTCTGAAGAACAGTTTAAATTCAGAAGAAAAAATGTCCATCTTCAAAATTGTAATTGTGGGAAGACGCCGAAAAAATGTTAACTTCTGTTATTTTCGAAAATTCAGCCATTTCAATGAAAGTATATCTTACAATTGTTACATGCATACTTTAATTTTCTTTTCAGATAAATAATCAAAAAATTTGGAGCCTTTTTTGAAAATGTCCTTCATTTCAAAGGTACACAAAAAATTGAAAATCCGTTTATAATGCAATGGGTCATCAGCCTAATCGATTGGGGAATATCAGTTTTGGTGAAAATACTGCTTACGGATTAGCCGCTAGCGTTGTTCATAGACGGACTGACGTTTTGTCATAAATCAGTATTTCAGTATCAAGGACCCGCAAAACGTGAATTTTGACTACCAAATTTTCTATATGCTACATTAAAAAGCATACAGTTCCCAATTGAAGTCGTGGTAACTGAGTAATTCCTAGGCATTTTAGGATCCAATGGGTTCCCTAGACTTCCCCATGGGAAAATGAAGTTTCTTTCCTGCATTTTCTACCAGCAATGCTAAATTGCTCCATCCAAATTGTGAGTAGAGTTTAATAGAGCTTCTGAGAGCAATTAACGAGATAGTAGATCGCCTCGAGTCGTGATCCCCAGTCTTGAGGACACCGACTGTGAATCTTGGCACAGCCTCAGAGGTTCCATTCACCACTGGCAAAATTCTGGCGTTGGGTACTCTATGAAGTTGGGCTGAATTGAAGATGCCTGGTTGGTATTTTACTACCTTTTCTTCCCCTGCTTTCAGAAGGCTAGACCCCTCCTCTTGACGGACAGTCACATCGACCACATGGACCCCTTCCCGGTTTTGATTACCAGGTCAGGTTTGAGTCTAACCTCTTCGGCATCGGAGAAAGTGGCTTCCGTGGACACGTTGGTGTTCGATTTCCGGAGCATCTTCTCTTCTATGAAGTTCTTGATCTTGTCATGACGCTTTATTCTTGCTGACTTCGTAAAAATGCACTGACCAAGGATGCGATTCATGGTTTCTACCGCTGTATTGCACTTCCTGCAGTATACATCCTCTCTGGGCCTTCCTTTACTAAGAGTAGTTTTATTGGCAGCGGTATTTGATCTCAATTGTAGTACAGTGATAAATTACCAGGTTTCAGAAGATGATAATCTTTCAAAAAGGCGTTTCCAATCGGATCGTTTATATGCGCCCTAACCGCTCTCCCTTGGGATCCCAGCTTCTCCCAGGCGGCTACCTCGGCGCATTTCTTCTTACAAGCCCTTAAATCTTGTTCGGAATAGGGCCAGTTGAGTCTAAATGATTTTGCGGCCTTTAGTGTCCGCTGGTAAAAACTCGGACAGGAGCTCAACCATCTGCAAATAGGATCTGCAGATTTTTCAAATCGTAATCCTAGGTTCAGCGCAACTCTAGGAATGTGTTGGGCGTGCCGCAGCAATCCCTGTCCTCCATCTCTCTTGGCCAGATAGAATAAGCTATCTGCAGTACTCATATTCAGATGTAGGAACAGTTTGACTGCCACTCTGATTTTGCCGTCCGCTTCCCTGAGCATCAACATTGATGGCATGGATAGAACCAATTGATAAAGGTAGTGTGGTATTATGTAGGTATGAAGTAATGCCAACTTCTGAGTGGGCTTTAAAATCTACCTTTTGAAGCCTCGACACCGCTTCCATCAAATTCGATATGGATGCTTTAGATGGGAAGACGTTCAAGATAGAATGGTAAACTCTCAGGTATGTAAGAGTATGATAATTGCTGATAAGGGGAATTCTCTCCCCCAACCTTTCTAGACAGAGGTCCTCAATGAACCGGGATCGTTCAAAAGGGTTAATTTGAAATGAACATTTCGCGACGGACTATGTCATTCCAAGGGCCCCAAGATATTCCACCACAATATCAACCAATTCTTGAGCTCCCGGGGCATCTTTTGCTAACAGCACCAGATCGTCAGCAAATGCTAACACAGGGACACTCATTCTCAATAGCGTTTATCCTGGTATATTTTCCAATTTCAAGCAGGCACTCCAAGATGATATTAAAAAGGAGTGAGGACAAGGAATCCTCCTCTTTTACTCCTCTACAAATAGGCACCTCAATTCCATTCGAGGGGTGCTGAATGACGATGGAAACATCGGCGTAGGAGTCCATTACCAAATTGGTAAAGGCGTCAGGGATCCCTTTCTTGGACAGAGCCCACTGAATCGCCGCGTGAGGCACAGTGACAAATGCTTTGGATATATCTAGCATAATATATACCTACACCACCCTCTGTTTGTTTCATGTCACTGACTGCTTCACGAAGAATTTGAATATTAGCGAAGCAGCCTGGTTCAGGGATAAACCCTTTCTGGCGTGGATTGAACTTCACCACGAATCGAATGCGTTTGTCCATAATGCCCCAAAAGATTCTGCACAATAAAGAACTAATTGTGATGGGGCGATAGTTGGTGACCACCATATTATCCTTACCCTCTTTTGGTATAAGGACGGTGCGATTAAGATGGTGCGATTAGGATGGTATAAGAATGGTGCGAGATTTCCACCCAGAAGGCACAAAGCCACTGTATAAAATTTGGGTGTACAATAGGGACAATATTTCAATTTTTGCTCCTGAGGATACGTGGCTAACTTTTACCTTATGTCCTGGAGCCGCGAATTTTTTTATTCCAGCCAGACGACTTAATTTCGGCAACTTGCACCACGTATAAATTTTTGGCTGGGTCCATTTCAGGTGTCAACAATTTATCACCATCTCTTAACTCGGAAAGCCGAATTGGGGGCGTGTAACCCCAGATGGAATTGTACAGGTCATTAACCTCATCCCTGTTAAGGGGCAGTTTATCGACCCTACTACAGTCAATGCCCGTTCTAATGCACTTTGCCAAAAGCGCTGGATCATTCTTGAAAAGGTCCTGTGCCCTAGCATAAGAGTAGCGCTTTCTAA